CCTGGGGGGGGGGGGGGGGCTGCAGCCCGGGAGAGCAGCGGCCGTGATTGAGCATCCCCGCAGAGATGCTCTCCAGCCCGGCCGGGGCCGTCACGCACGCTTGCCACGGTTTTCACGCCCGGCGTGGGTGAGGTAGCTCATGGCGTGGAGGAAGGGGTGCGGGTCTGTGCCCCCCACTCCCCCGGGGGGGTCTCTGGTGCTGCGGCGAGACACTGGAGCTCCTTGCTGTGGAAAGTGCTCTGGCAGCCGAGTTGTCCTAGAAAGTCTGTAAGTCTTGTTTCTCCATTCGGTGACGTCAGGTCGTTCAAATTAGACGCTACGTGAAGATTTCACGTACAGCTGTCCGCGAAGATTTCATGAAGCAGGGTTTTCTCCTCGATAATTTTAAGATTTGATTTACTCGACGGAGAGAGCGAGTTTGCGACAGCACGGTGTCTGTCGCTGGGTAGTGCCGCCATCTCTCTCTGTGCCGTGCGGCCTCCACGGAGGCTGGTGTACCTTGGCAGAGCATCCCCTCCTTAGGAAATCCTCTGGAGTAAAAAGTAAGCGTAATTTGTTATGAAATAGGCTGATAGACCAAACTTCAGTTTGCGATTGAAACCAGATGTGCATATTTTCCTTTTGAATCCTCAAACAATAACAGAAGTCTATTTTGACAGATTAAAAACTACTTGCAAATTGCAGAGGTAGCGGTGTTTTGCGATAATACAGTAAAAACACGGAGGGCTGCGAGCACCTCCGCCCGCCTCTCCCCAATATCGGGTATCTCCGAGCGCAGGAGGCTGCTGCTGCGTTCCCTCCGATCGCAAAGCGCAGATTCCCTTGGCTCGCCTCTGACGCGGGCAGAACTATTTAGCAGGGCTTGGCTGAGGGCTGGAAAAAGAAATAAAGAAACCCCCAAACAATGTAGATAATGTTTCTAGCGAAAATATTTGGGGTGGGTCACGAAACAGGTTAATTAGAATGATAGTAAAAAACCTGAATTTCAGAGCGGTTTGCTCTGTTATTACCTGTCGTGGCTCACTGTAGGCTTGAAGAGAGCTTCTGATTTATTTCTTTGGTTTTAAAAATCCTCCAGAGCCTGAGGATGCTTGCGGTGGTGGGTGTGTTAGACCCGGCTCCGGTGCGGCCGGGCTCAGGGATGCAGGATTAGGGCTGTTCACCCCATGCTGGAGGCATTTCTCTTGGAGAAGGACACAGCCTCCTGGCTTTCAAAAGTGGGGGGGAAAAACCCAACCAGAAAAAACCCAACCAATACAACCTGCTGTGGAATTGCTTCCTTCTCTCCACTTCAAAGGAGAGAAGGACACCGTGTGGGGCACGGCCACGCGTGCCGGCGGTTTTGCAGCTGAATCCCTGGGTCCGGACTTTCTCAATTCCAGGTTAAACCCGGAGAAAGGAGGGAAACTTTGGCAACTTCCCGCTCTGCACAGGGCCAAGGTGTCCAGGAACCGCGTCAGTTATAGAAAGCAGATGGCCTTTGGGAGGAAGATCAGGCTGTCGAATGAAAAACTTTGCGTGGAAAATCAGGGCAAATTGATTCAGTAGATAATTGATTTGTGTGAGTGAGATCCAGATTTTTATATATGGAGATCAGGCAGACTGCAGGACAGAGACAGCACTGATGTAGGCTAATGTTCAGGTGTGGATACCTGCATAAATAAATACATGTGCGTAAAAAAATACACGTGCATATATACACACACATGCAATATAAATCCCCAAATCTGCTTCGGTTAATTATACATAATTAATTTTTTTAGTATAAAGGGCTTGCTTCACTTTCAGCAAAGGTATAGGTAGAATGAGACATACAGTTTTTTGCCGAAACACCTGTATTTCTGTGCAGAATAGGCAGGATGGACCCTGTCCTGAAGGGGGATGGAGGGGAATTGGGTTTATCCAATTTGTCCATTTTATTATTACTGGTTGACTTCGGATTTCTCAAATGACAGCTGCGTGGTTTGAGGCTGTTCTTCCTTTTTCTTTCTTTCTTGTAATGTTGTATGGAGTTTCTTTACTTCATCGGGATGGGGGTAGTTTGTACTTCCCTTGTAAAATCTCAAGTAGAAAAGAGGGCACCCTAAGTCAAAAGGGCCGGTTTTGGTCTTGTTCCCTTCCCCCTTCCGTATCACATGGTTTATAGAACGATTTTGCTGGGAAATAGTCCTAATGAACATTAATCTGTGGCAAAGCAGACTTTGGACCAACAGGCTGGGGCAGGGCGAGGTGCCAGAGATGCTCCTAGCTCTTTGGAGAGCTCAGCCTGGAGAGGTCGAATCTCCTTCCCACGTCCCAGGGGAGGGAGAGGGGAAGCAGAGCCTTTGCATCAGGTCTACCTTCACCAAAACTAGGGTTGAAATAGTTGAAAATACCTCCAGAAAGACAAGCCCACGTTTTGTTCCCGTGGCTGTGGGGAACAAGGCCAGCAGAGGAGCTGGGGAGGTTACTCCTTTCTAGCTCCTCAAGCGAGCTCTCTTCTTGGCTGCCTTTTTTTTTTCTTTTTCTTTTTTTGCTCCTTTCTCTCCCAAAACGGGGAGGAGGAGGAAGAGGAAGCAAGCCTGCTGACTCGGGGAAACAGAACAAAAAAAACCAACCCCCCCCCTGCCCCCCCCCAAAAAAACCCAGGAGGTCGGACGAGTAGCAGAGGGCCGTGACTATCGGCGGTCTCACGTGCCTGGTCCGATGTGATGGTGGAGCGAGGCGGTGATAGCCATTTCTTGGCAGCCTCCCCTGGCACGCCGCGGTTCACGTCGCGGGGGTCCCCGCGGGGCCGTGCAAAAATATCACCAAAACAACAGCTCCTCCGGCGCGTCTGCTCCCCGGAGAGCTAAATATAAACTAATGGGGCAAAGAGAAGGGAATTTTTCCACCATGCTACTCATCTGTGCTTGCGAGCCTGCTGGGTTATTAAGCCTGACGGGCTGCTCCCCCCTGGGGAACCCCCCCTGCCCGAGCCCGCTCCCCGCCGACCCCAGCATGGCACGGCGAGAGTGCCACCACCGCTGTCTTTAGAGATGAGACCTTCCCTAAATTCCTCGAAAGCGGTCAGGGCAGCGGCAGACCTGAGCCCTGGCTCTCTGGTTCTGCACTCAAGTACCCCTCTGAGCTGTGGCTGTGTTATAATTATGAAAAAGGACTTTTCCAAGGTCACACTATGTGTCCGCATTTGTAGCCCGGCTGCCTGCGACCCAGCTATTTGCTTAGAGCAGCAATGCAGAACATGGCTCTGGTACAGTGAACCAGAGAGCGGATCCTTGGGCTGTTTTGTTTTTCCAAACTTTTACGAGTTGGCTGCCTTTAGAGAGACAAAAATTCCCAGGCAAGAGCTTATTTCTGAAGCTCTGCCAAGCTGGTGCGAGCTCTGATAGTACAGGCTGTGGATGTGTGAACCTTTAGTCATCAACAGGTGAAGCAGGTATTGAAAATTAAGAAGTGTCATCACGCAATTAATTTACAGCCAGAATTTCTCCTGGCTTCAGGTGGTTCATCCACGAGTTTTGAAGCCTATGAAGTTTGCGATGTTAGATACGTAAGATACCGCACCTTAGGCATCTAACATAAGCTATATAAGATAAATAAGGTTTGATATGTTAGAAGTTTCTGTTGAAACGCACGGAAGGAGGAATCTGACCTGGAGGAGCACCGGAGCCGGCATGAAGCATGGCTGCTCCCGGCACCGCAGGCTGTGGGTCCCTGCGCAGGGTGGGGGGTACCTGGGTGAGTTTGGCTCCCTAATCGCTATATTTGAGCGGTGGTTTAAGGGCTGGTTGAGGGAGTGCAAAAAATCTGTTCTGGTGCATTGAGTTTCTATGCCCCCTTTCCCCCAAAAATATGCCCGAGGGAGACTTGGTCATGGTTTTTGCTTTTAGAGGATTAAATATAGCAGCATCATTGGTGTCACTCCTCTGTAGTCCTTTTGAAGCATCCCTTGGGCTATATCATTCCCTGTATCCGTGGATCCTGGCCATAGCTTTTGCTTTCAGCAGCCAAAGTTCAGGGCTTGCGCTGTGCGGTAGGTATGGGACAGTGGTGAAAGAAGAGTTTTACTTTGTGGCCATTTTGTGCTTATATATGGTTACGTCTCCTAGGGTTTGTAAAAAATGAAATCTGGCGAACTTCGATCCGGCAGCTGGAAAACTTGCTCTCCCTCTCTCTGCTCAAAACCAGCCCTCGAAAGGAAGGACCAAAAATCCTTTCAATGGCAGCGGAGGAGCGGGGCTCAGGGGTGGTGGTGCAGAACGATGCCGCTGTCAGGGTGCACCAGCAGCTTGCTCTGGTCTCAGCCGCTGGCCTGGACTGGGGGGGTTAGGAGACGC